GGGGAGAGGTGGGGTGATTTTAACACGCCAGGAAAAATCTATTTTCTGTCAATCGTGGAATAACATGTATTATACACTCTTGCCGATCAAAATGGAACAAAAAGGCCATACTCGTGAAGATAACCACTAATTGTCTTAACCATACTTCATCACGCTGGTCTGTACAGGTTAGTGAAGGGGAAGCGCCGGACAGGTTGCGATATCACGCGCCACTGACGTCAGCCTTGAAGGGGAATTGAACTCGGGTGGCCGGGTTCATGGTACAGCCAGCTAAACATTGCCGTGGCACTTCGCGGTGTCAAACTGCAACTCACGACCCAGTTGGTTGCAGTACGGATTGTGGTGCCGACGGTGAACACATAAAAGGCATCCAGTGTTGAAAATGCTGCTGTCCAATTCGACTGGATTGCATTTGTCAACTGAAAAATCCCTCTACAGCAGAATTATACATTTCTCGAAAAGCTTTGCGGAATGTAACGGGTGTTTGTATTTTACCGCAAACTACTGTGACTTTAAACCCAGCGTCCTTCGCCACATGCGCTCTTGTTCTTCAGATGTTCTTATCAATCCACTGCTGGATAAAGTAATTGCCAGCGACATTTCGCTGGTAATTACTACATCCAGCATCATCGGGCGATTTGCCAGCGAAACGTCGTACTCAAATTGTAAATGTTGTGAATTTACTCTCCAACACACCGGTAGACTGAAGTAGTAACGAACTGGCGTTTTTCTTAAGTGACAAATCCCTTACTAATTGGCTGTGTCGGGTGGTGGAGGGTTTGGACACAGCATTTATACTTACACGATCTAACCCAACAACCTTTATTTTGAATATCATTGCTCGCGAAAGTCCCACCCCACGTGTTCAACTTCACGGGGATGCTGCCGTGATGAAAAGGTGACGCACAATGTATTTGCGATCCAAGAGACCTCTGGTAGCATTCGTTCTTGAATCACCCATCCACCCCAACCGCCTCTGTACACGCAGCTGTGTAAATGGTTGGACGATGGGCAGGCGGCGTTTCTTAGGCGGAATGGGCCCCAATAATCCCAAAATCTTCGAAGACGTTTGGCTGTGCGTTGGAAAAGTCGACCGCGGATCCCTCGAAGAGGGCTTCTCTGGAGCACTCTCAATTTGAGACCCTTCTGACAACAGCGGCTGCACATTTGACTTTGTGTGCACACCCACATGCTCCGAGCGTCGATTCTAAAAATAACAATGTGCGGTGTGAAGATGACGTGCAAGTGCTATTCCGTAACGTTCTAACACAGGTCTATATATATATACACACGTCCAAAGAAAATAATAAATCCCTTAACAGACTGATAGGGCAAGAACTGTTGGAGAGTATCTGCCTGATAGCTTCGTGCTGGGTACGTGCCGTGTGCAACTCCCACCGAGACGCACGAAAACACACACAACAAAGCCACAGATTCCCCGTATAGCCTTCAACAGACTGTCGGGGAAGGGGCTTTTAGCGAGCGCCTATAAAGGCCGGCACGGCACACGAGGGTGTGGGTGACCAGCACCACGCCCGGCCGCCTTTGTCTCTCCATAGTGGGGATGTATGCACACCTCACCAGATACGGTCTTAATTTGAGGCTGAGTCGACCTAGGGGATGCCCAGGACCGGTTCAGATAATCGCCACTGGTGTTGGCCGTGAGCGAGAGTCGAATCCGGGTCGCTGTGTTCGCAGCGTGGTGAGCTAACCGCTACCCTCTTGCTCCCTATCGCTCCATACCTCTACATACACACACACGCGTGTATATATATACATACACACGTCTGTATATATATTTAATGAGACCCACAGAGACACAGAGACCGGCGTGCTCGTGTTCTCTTCATGGCACACCGAACCACACCAATCCCGGCGAAGGCGCGCGTCAACCGTTAGAAGCGCAGAGCCCCGTACAGATGAACACTGAACGACCTTGCCAGCCTCTACTGCGGAAACGTCCACGGTTGATGGCCATCGGAGTCAGACGAGACGCTCCCACGGACCGCTGACAGTGGCCGGTTCAGCCTCAGGGGGGAGGTGGGGTTGGTCGCAGGCTCGCAAGAGGGCACGTGTCACATGCACCCGGAAAGCCCATTAACCACGGGCGAGTCCCTTCAACACGGTCCCCCTCATCAACCACCACTGTCGGTGTGTTCATACTCCCAACCCTGGAGCGTGGCCCTTGTTTCAAATGGGGGGGGGGGCATTAAAAAAAACTCAGGGGGTACGGGGGGCACAACATAGTTAATGGCACACATTAAACGAATGTTAAACGCTAAACAGAATCAGAGGATCTGAATATTTATTGACACTGGAGGATTCCGATGAGCTATAACGCTTTTTTCACAGATGTCCAGTTGGGGCACGGGGTTAGAACGTCACGGCAACAAAGAATACACAAACACACGATATGAGTGCACAGTATATGAAACGTTAACAAATTACTTAAAAGACATACAAATAAAACTAAATTATATATTTTTATCTTACTAGGTAAGGCCCACTGAACAGTTAAACAGAAAGAGTAACGATCCACTTCCATCCATCGCGGAATTCCGCTGTGACTATCATCACCCCCTCTGTGTAGGAATCACCGCCATTGCTATGAAATGCTCTGCGAATGTTGTCACCAAAAGGCGAGGCCAGCCCTCTCCAAACACCGCCGCCAGCCCCTACACATGATGCTTCGGGGCAGCCCCCTACTCACCATTTCCCCCCCCCCCCTCCCCAATCTTATGCCAATCGTTCTATCGGCGTCACGTGACGAGGAATCCATAAAGAACTCTCGCAGGGCAGTTGCAGCCCTTTGTTTTGGAGAACGGCCCGCGCAAGCGGATGTCACAGAGCTATTTCTGGAATTCCTTCAAGTGACCTATCGCTTCACAAAATTAGGTGGGGCATGTACTTTCCCACTCGCTCTGCCAGCCACCAAGAGTGATGACTGTGTAAAAAAAAACAATGTACACGCATTAAGTACGTGACCAAATGTAACGTGGTTTGATTGTGTCCAGTTATTAGTGACCGGTGTGAAATAATGAAATTGCTTCACGAGAGAACGTGTGGATTCATCGCAAGCGGCTGCCTGGATTCGAACCTAGGTGATTAGCCGTGACCTCGATTGGACTCTTTTTTTTATCAAACTGGCGTTTTCCGTAAGGACTGATATTTCATCGTAAAATATGTTTTATTAAATTTTGTTGGATTGGCCACTCGGTCGTTATTTCTCGACCACGTATCAGGCCCCGTGCTAGCTTACTTGTCCTCACTTGACTTGAGAGACAATGCGATGTCTCTCACTTGTGCTCGCGTTGCCGCTTGGTGTCAATCCACGCAACGCTTCAATCTTGAATTGAAGCTTTCGTGACTACAGGAATCCATACTCTTTGCTTCTTTCAGTAAAGTCACGTAGATAGAAAATTATAAATAGATCACGACGTTTCGATCGCAACACAAGCGACCGTCTTCACCTGAATACCTGCAGACGGTTGCTTGTGCTGCGATCGAAACGTCGTGATCTATTAATAATTTTCTATCTACGTGACTTTACCGAAAGAACCAAAGAGCAAGCAACGCTTCTTCACGCGTTTCATCTCTTGGCTTATCTGGGATCGCGCGAGACTGTGGGAGTTCTGCTGAGGTTCCTCCGTCAAAGTGTTTTAAGATGGGCTGCAAGAGGTTTCGAGATGCCCTATGAAAATATACTACGCAAATGTATTCTATTGCATTTAACATACATTGTATACTAGTGCATTTAACGTATGTTATATATTTATTAACGGAGCGGTGGCGCAGTGGTTAGCACACTTGCGCAATGAACCCGGCCTCCTGAGTGCAAGTCATGGTACCGGCTACCATCAGACCGTCACCTTTACCGACGCTCTTGTAACAAATGATGTTGAAGTGGCGATGGTACTGCTGCTGCTGTGTTGGCAATGGCGCACCCGCACAATTAACAACAAACCCCAACGCATTCGCCAATAACAGCGGTCAGAAGAGAAAACACATTGTATTCATTGGGCGACGTTTTGGCAAATGGCACTTCTTCACATCCTATAGGCCAGGGGTGGGGAACGCCCGGTCCGCGGGCCGTATCAGGCTCGCGAAATCATTTTGTCTGGCCCTGCCAAGGCAACCGGAGGCGGGACTCGAAATTAAATAAATCTAGGAGCAAACCTGGAAAAACAGTTGCGAGTAGCAACATCATCAATACCAGATAACATCATCACACGCCTCACCAAAGAAAAGCAGTTCCAGCCATCACATTAGGGGTGAGTTAATTAAATGTTTGACCAAATATAACAGGCTAATTTTTAAGTTGATAATTTTGTATGGCCCGCGAATGATGTTATACATATCCAAATGGCCCTTGGCAGAAAAAAGGTTCCCCACCCCTGCTCAAAATAGAGAGGCCAGGGAGATGAGAGATGAAGACTGCACCAGCACCACGCCCCGTCGCGTTTGTCTCCCGAGTCGCACCAGGTACACATTTGAGGCTGAGTCGACCGAAGCGAGGCCCCGGTTCAGATAATCGTCACCACCACGACCACCATTATCTAAAACTAGAACCTAAACTATGTTTATTTTACTAGGCACAGCCCACTGAGCTCTATCGCTCTTTCAAGTGACTTAGCCACAAATGATAGCTCAACAAAGTAGCTTATCACGTGGAAATATATATCAGCCAAATACTCTCAGCGCATGTTTCCAAACGTAGAGGGAAAAAAAAAAACGTAGGACCCGGAGAAAAAATCCACGCGATCACAATGACAGTCATGCAAACTCCAAATATACAGCAGGCGCCTGTCATCGGAATCAAACCTCCACGACCTTCTGCATACCGGGCGAGGGAGTTAACATCTCGCCACCGCGAACATCAGCACCACGCATCACGTGGTCAGCTCCCGCCTCTGCTAACAACAGGCGGCGTGTGGCTGTGAATGGGATAGGGGGGCGGGATCGCTCTGTGACTGCCCGATAGCAGAGGGCAGTGCGTGCCGCCGTGCTGGTGGTGGTTGATGGTGGGAGAGAGCGGAGAGAGGAGGGGGGGGAAGAGAGAGAGAGAGGGACGCAGGGAAGACCGCTTGCAGTCAGCCCGCTCCCACTAAACGAGCAAATCAGCAGCAGCACCACCAAAGCCGTCCATCCGCCTGCTGCAACAACGGGAGTCTGAGATCTTCCCATCGGACGCTGTTCCTGCTTCACCGGGCGCCTCTCGTCTCCCAAGGTGCCTTATTGAGTGGCCAAGTGAGATGCATGCACGCTGTTGTGTGGGGAGTGGTTGTGTAGCGGTTAGCGCGCTGCGCTACGAACCTTATCTTAACCGGTCCTGGGCCTCCCCTAGGTCGACTCAGCCTCAAATGAGTACCCGGTTCGGTGTGTATACATGTCCACTAGGGAGGCTAAGGCGGCCGGGCGTGGTGCTGGCCACCCACTTCCTCGTGTGCTGTGCCGGCCTTCATAGGTGCTTTGCTAACAGCACTTGCCCCTACAGTCTATTTAGGCTATATGGGGGGTATTTGTCTTTGCTGTAAGTGATGCATGTGCACACACACACACACGTCTGTGCATATAACACGTGAACACACACACACGCGCGTGTACACACAAACGTGCACATACACGCGTGCACACACACACACGCGTGCACGCACACACGCGTGAATACGCACACACGTGTACACACACACTCGTGAACACACACAGACGTGCACTTTCACGCGTGTACACACACAGACGTGCACATACACGCGTGTACACACACAGACGTGCACATACACGTGTACACACGTGTGAACACACACACGTGTACACACACGCGCATGTGCACACCACGCGTAGACGTGCACACATCCCGATATCTGATCGCACACGCGAGACACATCGCGTGTGCACATTGCATGCGCCACAAAGACAAAAGGTCGCCCATAGCGTAGCCTCCACGGGCTGTTTGTGGCAAGGGCTGTTAGCGAGCAGCACTGAATGGAGGCGTTCGCGCCACGCCACGGTGCGGCCGGGCGTGGTGGTTGTGGCCGAAAAAACCCACACCCGGCTCACGCACACACACGGAATATCGCCGACTGTATACGCCATACCGTGCGTCTGTGATGCCTGCACGTCACACTGATGGGGAAGCGGGCGCGTGGTGGCGAGCGCCTTGCCCTACGAACCCCGGCCAACTGAGTTCGATTCCCCCCTCTTAGACAGCGATAAACCGGTCCTTGGCGTTATCCCTAGGTCGACTCAGCCTCAAATGAGTGCAGTCAAGACCGCCGCTGGGGAGACAAAGTCGGTCGGGCGTGGTTGTTAGACCAGGCACCTTCTTAGGTGCTACTCGCTAGCATCATCATCACAGTGGCTGGGAGATGTTAACTACCTCGCCTGGCATACAGGAGGTCGTGGGTTCTACCCTGACGCCTGCTGTATATTTGGAGTTTGTGTGTTTCTCTCTCTCATCATTATCATAGTGGCGAGATGTTAACTACCTCGCCTGGTATACAGGAGGTCGTGGGTTCTCCACTGACGCCTGCTGTATATTTGGAGTTTGCGTGTCTCTCTCATCACAGTGGCGAGATGTTAACTACCTCACCTGGTATACACGAGGTCGTGGGTTCTACCCTGACGCCTGCTGTATATTTGGAGTTTGCGTGTCTCTCTCATCATCACAGTGGCGAGATGTTAACTACCTCACCTGGTGTACACGAGGTCGTGGGCTCTACCCTGACGCCTGCTGTATATTTGGAGTTTGCGTGTCTCACCATCATCATCATCACGGTGGCTAGGAGATGTTAGCTACCTCGCCTGGTATACAGGAGGTCGTGGGTTCGATCCCGACCCTGAGTTTGCGTGTTCTCTCTTTTCCCGTGGTCGCGTGAATTTTTTGCTCCGGGTCCTCCGGCTTTAACCTCCCCATTTAGAATCGCCATCAGGTAAGGCCCACTGAGCTAAGTAGCAATTTTTTTTAGAAGCGACCTGCCCACAAATGATAGCTCAACGAAGTGGCTTATCACGAGGAAATGTATAGCAGCCAAATACTCTAAACGCACGCTTCCAATCGTGGAGGAGGGGAAAAAAACCGGAGGACCCGGAGAAAAATCCACGCAAACCACGGGGGAGAGAGACACTGCGAACTCCCAAACACACAGGCATCAGGGTCGGGATCGAACCCACGGCCGTATTGACTACCTCGCTTGTATACCAGGCGAGGTAGTCAACATCTCCCCCCACCCATGGCACCGCTACTGCCAGTTCCCGCACCGCCCGGGTCAAACCCGGACGGTTGGCAACCCTAGCTAGCGCAAAACTGTACCGCCGAACACCGATTAATAATGCAGAGTTGTAGTAAAGTAATTAAATCGCGTGTACTGTACATGTTGTCCTTGCAAACTCGTGGACGGATATACAGTACCGTGTTCGGAATATAACGGGGAGTTTTTTTGGGGGGAAGGGACCCCTAAAATTTGAAACTTAAAATAACGCACCGTACGCAAATTACATAGAGCGTACAATGCAGCAATGTTCAACTGATTACTGCCTGTGGTGATGCTACGTTGACAGTGGAGTACAAGTACAAATAACAACAGCGAAAGACGCAACACATTCGTCAATAACACTGCCCTTACCCATAGGCAACGTTTCGGGCAATTGTCCTATTCCATTGCACCAATGCCGCACAGACACGTCACGTGCCAGGCCATGCCAGTTCTGCATCGTGCGGGATTAGATGCATGCACAGGTCGTAATGTCTCATTCGGTATCTTCCCGAACGCTCCTAGGCTGGTTTGTAGCAAGGATTATTGGCGTAAGTCACTAACTAGCACTAAGAGCACAAGGTAAGTCTATCCGTATCTTCATCATGAGGCCTCTTTCGCCAGTAGCAAGTAGACTAATAGGGGTTTTCCACTTTTTTTCTGGCAACAAAACTGACACCTTTTCCTTGCAAAAGGTGACACCTTTCATGTTTACATGTAAACATGTAAACATGAAAACATGTAAACATGTAAACATGATTCCTTGCAAAAGGTGTCAGTTTTGTTGCCAGAAAAAAAGGGGAAAACCCCTATTAGTAGCCTATCAGTAAAAAATTTCGACAGTATGAATAAACATAAGTTTCATTTTAAATAACATCATGAGTGCCAATTGCATCTCACAAGACTGTACAATAATTATGTCCATAATCACATGAAGGGCTGAATCCTATTTATAACAAGACACATTTGTAACCTATGTCCCTATCATCCTATGAGAGCGAGGGTTTTTAAAACAACGAGATGCATCTTCTTTGGTTCTTTCGGTAAAGTCACGTAGAATGAGAATAAAATAATAAAATAACACAATAAAATTCTCACGAGATGCAGTTATCGTGAGGACAAAACGAGACGAGACGGATGTTGGGCAGTGTGTTGCGATCGAAACGTCGTAGTGTCTTTTGTTTATTTTATTATTATTATTATTTGAACCTATCTACGTGACTTTAACGCGACATAGTCCATCGACGGTCACGTGCTTATGCAATTGAACTCCCGGGATGCAGACCTGCCCCGTGTCACTTGAGACCAGGAGACGAGTGACAATTCAGAGCGTCGCGTTTGCTAATATTCTTTACCCTGAGTTACGCACAACTTGCAGAGCACAAATCCACCTCGCGATTAATGTACACCCACAGCCCCCACCCCTTTTTTTGCCAATCCACTGCTGGATGAGGGCCTGCCCAGGCCAGTGCAGGTCTTGAGAGCATTACGTGACCATCCTTCGCCATGCTGGTTGATGAAGGCAGAGCTCCATGGACACACACGTATGTGTGTATGTTGAACTTCTTTCGCGCCGTACGACGCCAAACCGTGCTAATGGTATTGTACTGGACAACAATGGAAGCGCTGCACTGCCCTCTGCTGACAATGTTGCCCAGCGCAGCCTATAACACCTGTTATGCACGGTGGTCGCCCATCCAAAAACCATCCAGATGCAAGCCCTACTTAGCTTCTGCAATCTGACGAGATTAGGCACACTGGGTGATTTGGTCATAGGCCCCGATTAATAGTTCCAGTTAATTATAGTATCGTCAAAAGTAATATAATAATGTCCTGTATTTATAATAATATAAGAATAATGTCCTTTGTTTACTCGGGAAAGCCTCACTAAGTCTCACTAAGTCTCTTTTGCAGGAGGGTCCTGATGTGCATTGGGTTGTTTGGTGAATTCCATTTTAATTTGTATTTTTGTACTGTACTGGAGTTACCAGGATTAAACCCCCCATGCGAACGGGGAGGGTAAAATTAAGGGCTCCGCACAGATGGATTAAAGGATCTGTTGCTATACTACCAGCTGCTCACAACCTCGCACCCCGAACTTACACAACACCCAGTATTCCCCTGGAGTGAATATGCCATCCAAGCGCCCATCAGGCTCAACGTTGCGAACCTTCACTTCCTCAGACATGCCCGGTGTCACACAGGCGGTCGCCGTCATCGTGGCAAACCGAGTTGAGCGAGGCCTTAGTCCAGGGGTGGGGAACGTCCGGCCCACGGGCCGTATCAGGCCCGCGAAATCATTTGGTGTGGCCCTGCCAAGGCAACCACAGGCGGGACTCGAAATTCAATAAATCTAGGAGCAAACCTTGGAAAAGCAGTTGCGAGTAGCAACATCATCAATACCGGCTAACATCATCACACGCCTCACCAAAGAGAAGCAGTTCCAGCCATCATATTAGGGGTGAGTTAATTAAATGTTTGACCAAATATAACAGGCTATTTTTTAAGTTGATAATTTTATATGGCCCGCGAATGATGTTATGAATATCCAAATGGGCCTTGGCAGAAAAAAAGGTTCCCCGCCCCTGATTTGATTGGCAGGCGGTTGGGATCATTGACTTCCCGCACGGGGGTTTCAGTGGCCTGAACCGTCGAGTGGTCAGGCGGTGCTACGAAGAGAGAGAGAGAGGGGGGCGGGGGAGAGTACCCCATTTCGTTCCATGCCACCAGAGCCCATGCCAACCTCGCGAGGCCACTACACGCGGAGGAGGGGGGGGGGACTTCATGGAATGAAGGCCACGTGGATCATCAGACAATTAATGCACCGATGCTTCATTCGTGACAGATGGATCGTAAATACACTAAGGTTGGCCAGGTCAATGGCCCCGAGGCCCCAGAGCCTGAGCAGAGTTTCAGTGTTGAACTCCGGTGCGGAGCCTGGAGCTGGGGTCACTGGGACGCTCCGGAGTCTGGAGCTGGGGTCACTGGGACACTCCGGAGCCTGGAGCTGGGGTCACTGTGACACTCCGGAGCCTGGAGCTGGGGTCACTGGGATGTTGTGGAGCCTGGAGCTGGGGTCACTGTGACACTCCGGAGCCTGGAGCTGGGGTCACTGGGACACTCCGGAGCCTGGAGCTGGGGTCACTGTGACACTCCGGAGCCTGGAGCTGGGGTCACTGTGACACTCCAGAGCCTGGAGCTGGGGTCACTGTGACACTCCGGAGCCTGGAGCTGGGGTCACTGTGACACTCCGGAGCCTGGAGCTGGGGTCACTGTGAGACTCCGGAGCCTGGAGCTGGGGTCACTGTGACACTCCGGAGCCTGGAGCTGGGGTCACTGTGATACTCCAGAGCCTGGAGCTGGGGTCACTGTGACACTCCGGAGCCTGGAGCTGGGGTCACTGTGACACTCCGGAGCCTGGAGTTGGGGTCACTGTGACACTCCGGAGCCTGGAGCTGGGGTCACTGTGACACTCCGGAGCCTGGAGTTGGGGTCACTGTGACACTCCGGAGCCTGGAGCTGGGGTCACTGGGACACTCCGGAGCCTGGAGCTGGGGTCACTGTGACACTCCGGAGCCTGGAGCTGGGGTCACTGTGACACTCCTGAGCCTGGAGCTGGGGTCACTGTGACACTCCGGAGCCTGGAGCTGGGGTCACTGTGACACTCCGGAGCCTGGAGCTGGGGTCACTGTGATACTCCGGAGCCTGGAGCTGGGGTCACTGTGACACTCCGGAGCCTGGAGCTGGGGTCACTGTGATACTCCGGAGCCTGGAGCTGGGGTCACTGTGGATGTTGTGGGCCTGGAGCTGGGGTCACTGTGACACTCCGGAGCCTGGAGCTGGGGTCACTGTGACACTCCGGAGCCTGGAGCTGGGGTCACTGTGACACTCCGGAGCCTGGAGGTGGGGTCACTGTGACACTCCGGAGCCTGGAGCTGGGGTCACTGTGACACTCCGGAGCCTGGAGCTGGGGTCACTGGGACACTCCGGAGCCTGGAGCTGCGGTCACTGGGACACTCCGGAGCCTGGAGCTGGGGTCACTGTGACACTCTGAAGCCTGGAGCTGGGGTCACTGTGACACTCCAGCGCCTGGAGCTGGGGTCACTATGACACTCCGGAGCCTAAAGCTGGGGTCACTGTGATACTCCGGAGCCTGGAGCTGGGGTCACTGTGACACTCCGGAGCCTGGAGCTGGGGTCACTGTGATACTCCGGAGCCTGGAGCTGGGGTCACTGTGATACTCCGGAGCCTGGAGCTGGGGTCACTGTGACACTCCGGAGCCTGGAGCTGGGGTCACTGTGATACTCCAGAGCCTGGAGCTGGGGTCACTGTGACACTCCGGAGCCTGGAGCTGGGGTCACTGTGACACTCCGGAGCCTGGAGTTGGGATCACTGTGACACTCCGGAGCCTGGAGCTGGGGTCACTGGGACACTCCGGAGCCTGGAGCTGGGGTCACTGGGACACTCCGGAGCCTGGAACAGGGGTCACTGGGACACTCCAGAGCCTGGAGCTGGGGTCACTGGGACACTCCGGAGCCTGGACCTGGGGTCACTGGGACACTCCGGAGCCGGGAGCTGGGGTCACTGGGGTCACTGTGACACTCCGGAGCCTGGAGCTGGGGTCACTGGGACACTCCGGAGCCTGGAGCTGGGGTCATTGGGACACTCCGGAGCCTGGAGCTGGGATCACTGGGACTCTCTGGAGCCTGGAGCTGGGGTCACTGGGGTCACTGGGACACTCCGGGGCCTGGAGTTGCCGCTACTGAACAAAGTGTGATGAAATGGAGTCCAGAGGGCTGTGCTATCACAGCTTCCACAGTGCCCGTTGACTTGTCCATGGGTCAAGCTCCCCCCAATCTTACCTGATACTCCAGCCCCCCCCCCCACCACACACACTTTGCACTTGGCATACTCCACACCACGGAGAGGGGCCGACAACACAATCTAAAAACGTTTGAATCTCACGCACGCAATGTCGATGCACGCATTGCAAGCTTAATACAGTACAGTTAACATTAACAGCAGCGGCTGTAAACCGAGCCATGACTAACATCAGTGGCAAGTTAAATCTGAACCGGTCCTGCAGCCCTCGAGGAATATAATTTTCTCGTACAGTCTGTTCTCCTATAACGCCGCATGTTTTCATCACGCGAATTGGGTATAGCGCGATTAATGTATTAGGGAACGCATTTTCTATAGCGCGGATGCGAATTGGATATAACGCGATCGAGTGAACGGAACTACGTCGCGCGAGTAGTGATAAGCGGTCGTACGGCCGCCTCGGCGTAGCGTCACGCAAGGCACTGGGATGCTGCTGGATGCTTCCAGATGCTACTCACGCGCCTCGGTCTTTGTTCGGCCTGCATTCACATCTCTTACGTGTTATCGCGGACTGTGCTGTACCCTATATATTATTCATTATAACGCGATTTATTGATAACGCTGT